GCTACTAATGATATCCAGTTTGATCCACCTCCTCTTGTCTCTCTTACTCCATCCTTTCCCTTTAGCCAGGAAGATAGACACTCCATTAGACACTCCCATACTTGTCCTCTGCAGTTTACTTCAATTGCATTTAGTGTAGGTTGGTATAATCCTAAGTACAGGCCTAACTGTTTCCAGTTGTTAGCATAATCAAACTGTTGATTTGATGTTAATTCTTGAAGGACTGTAGCAAGATCTCTAATATCTGCATGAGTGTATAATAATAATAACACTATATACTCTCTTAGTCTTACCAAGCAGTTTATCAGTGAGTGTTTCTTGTACTTCATCATTGATCTTAAGTACATCAATATCTATACATTATATTAAATACCAATAATACTTGATACATACACATAATGTTTGTATAGTTCAATGTAATAATAATTCTACCATGCCTATAGCTACATGTAGTTGTAATATTGACCAATCAAATTGCTTGATTTTAGGTTTATAAATTCCTGGGTAATCGGAAGTTAATAAGTAAATTTCCTGGACAGTAGGAGGTTAATAATAGCTGGGGAATTTATTTATTAACCTCCTGTTTGAAAATAGACAACCTGGGCATTATCAAAGGTGGGTTGTATGTAGCTATATTATCATCAAGAAGCAATATTTATATTAATTATAATCTTACTTATTGAAGTGGCAATAGTGCTGGTAACTGATGTCTCTCCTATTTCACCCGTAGCAATAGCTAGTTTGTTCCATGTTGCTTCAATATCATCTGTAAGCCATTTTGCTAAACATTCTGTGAGACACTGCTCAGCATGTCGTAAATAGTTAGTCTCAATAACCATAAGATCATTAAAACTCAGACCCAAGTAGAAACCAAGATCAAACCATCTGATAGTTTGAAAGTTACCCTTTTTTAACACTCGTACAATATCTACCAGATCCCTGATAGTCAATGTAACTGTTATAAATAAATAAATAAATAATGTAAAGCTATAAACTAGTGACAGTGAGTGCTTATACCTTTTTGTTGACCAATTGGCTCACTGATCCTATCACTTGTTGGAATATAAGTGTCCCCTAATACTTCCTACAATAAGATATCAGTTAAACAGAATAATGTGTGTTAATTCTTACCTTAATATCACGTCCTCCTAATAGTGACAGGTTACTAATATCTGATAATGATTCATCAGGTAGGATCTCCTTCAATTCTTTATGTCCATTATCAGTTACAAGAAATGGTCTTCCTTCCTTAATTGCTGATAGTAAACCACAAACGTCATACACTGTCCTTTCTCTTGGTGTATTCACAGGATAGGCTAGTTCTTTAGGATCAATAACTAACTCTTTTACCTCTAGACTGGGACAGGATTCTTTATAAACTCTCATTACTTCTCCTATCACTTTTCTTCTTAGAGACACCATATTGTCACTGTAACCTTTCTCACAGGACATCATTACTAGTACACACTGGCTCTCATCCACAATCTCTATCAGTGATCCTACACCATGACCATTAAACCAGTGAAGTCTGTTGCTCCAAAATTTGCATTCACGATTCAATTTTTCAGCTAATTCTTTGTTCCCTTTTGATAAAGAAAACTTAAAAGCAAGATGTAATGAGAGGACATGGAAGTATCGAGGAGGAAAGAAATCATGTTCTCTAGTACACTGTAGACACCAACCAAACTGGTACACTTCACTAGTCATCTTCTTAGGTCTATCAGTAGACAAAAGACATGGAAAAAACAACAACCTTTCTCCTCTTTTTTGAGTCTCTGAGGTACTGTCTCCTGTCTCCTCTCTATCTCCTGCTATTAAATTTGTTATCTTTAGGAAAGATGGATCCAATTCTTGACAGAGTTCCATGTTCTTTAAGAAACAGATTAGCATGTCAGGATCATATTTAAGGAAGAGTTTAGTCAGACCAGACACACTAACAATACCAGTATTGCTAGCAATGTCAACATGTTCTTTGAATGTTTTTGGAGCAAAGAGAATCCCATCCACCTCAGTTAGTAGTATACCCTTATTCACAACAACCCATACCTTGTCTTCACTTTTAAGAACACTGATCAAACCAATTGAGTGCAATAAATGAACAGCATCCAAGATGTCTTCTCTCTTATATGGTATAACATAATCATTACTGCACCTACCAGCAGACATTACATCAGAGAGGGTCAGTATATTCTCTTTCCTTTCCTCCAGTAGACCATACATCATGTGACAATAAAGACTCAAAT